GGGGAAGTTGCCCTTATACAGGCGACATGTCTTTTGGTTGGAAGTTCGGGTGACCCAATTTGAGGATGTTCATACTGTGGATGGACAAAGTCCTCTTCGCAGTAGTTGGGATGGATAAAACCTTGTGAAACCTAGTCGAACGCACCTACCAAATGGCATGGCGTGGTCTGTCAAAGCTTCCAGTCATTCATAGTGCATTTTTGCGCGGAAATGGAGAACTCACTAAACAACCAACCGGAAACACATCCGGAAACCGGGTTGTCTCTTGTCTCTTGGGGAAGCCTTGAACAGCCCTGACGATGGATCTCCTGGCGGCGATTTTTGAATCTTAAGAGCCTTTGACTTGTTGTTCAGGGTAGGTGGGCAGCTTGATTACTCGGCTCTCTAGATCTCGTGCACTTCCCAACCATGGTATTGATTTCGGGAAAGGAGGCCAACAATTTCAGGGGACATCTGGCAGCCATCCATGATATGTCTTTTGGTGGAGGTTTCCATTCTGGTCTTTCAAGGAAAGCCAAAAGAAGAGAACACAAAAATGGGCCGCGGTCTCGAAAAATGACACACTCATATTCCTGGAAAACTCAAATTGGGGGTTTGAGGGGCCTAGTTCTTCTGTTGGAGGTTTCCAGTCTGGTCTTTAAACCCCATTTTGCGGGCCCTAAACACCTGAGCCACAATCAAAATCCGGGTAGATGAAGGTTAAGGGACAATCCCAACCATAAATAGCTGCGGATATCTGCCTTCTTAATTCTTGAAGCATCATTTTAATACCGGGTTTTCCAGTCCGCTCTTAAAACCCCATTTTGGAACCCACATGCCTGGGAAAAAGAAGAAGATAACCCCATTACGACCATTTTCATACAGAGTTTTGATTATATTTTGGAAGAGAAGATCACCCCAATTTTGGGGGATTTTTAAGGCTATGCCTGGGAAAAAAAGGAAGACAACCGCCATTTTGGGGCATCCCCGAAGCGAGTCTAACACATTTGAGACCTCTTGAGGCGACCACGGTGCGGCGCCTCGCCGATTTCCTGGGAGTGCCGTCCATGCTGCAGGCGGCGCGGCGCAAAAATCCGTCGTCGGGTGCGCGCTTTTGGGGAGCAGAGCCAATTTCCAAACTCTGAGCCAGAGGTGTGGTGAGTTGTCGAAAAAGTGTTTGAGGAAAATTTATGGACCTTGATTTACCTCATGCTACACCTTTAAGTGTGGTACGTCTGCCTATGCAAGCTGAAGAAGTATTTCTTTAGAGACTTGTTTGAGAGTATGACTCTCTAGCTCAGTTGGTACTGGGCTGTATCGCAGTGGGAGCGAGATGGGCTCGAATCGACCACACCCAGGACCTCAAGCAGGGTCAAAACAAGCCCAATCACAATAGTGCGCCAAAGACAAGACCAACAAGGGCTAAAGAAACACCTTCTTTCAATAACCAAATTAGAAATCCGAGGAAGATTCTGGATTAAGTTTCTTATTCCCCATCAAATCTTTCAGAAATATTCCAGACCCTGGTCAAATCACGTCGGTTTTCTTAACAGACTGATCGACCGTACTTCAATCGGGGAATGCTGTCACGGGCATTGGCGCGGTGGCACCCGTGGCGACTTTGCTTGTGCGAGTGCTCTGTTGCAACTGTGCAAACTGCAAGACCCGGCTGTGCCGCTGAACTCGACGAAAGGCACGCCATCCCCTTTTGCGGAGAGTGCCGAATTCAGCAATTCTGGCGCGGAGGGCAACGGGTCCACAAACCGACGGCTTGTGTTTGATTGTGGTGTGGCTCATCCGAGTCCCGATCCAAAATGCGAGTTTGTGTCCCGGCTGCTTACTGAGCGCGTGGGTGCCCCACCCATTGTCAGAGCGCGCTTTGCAGTGGGTATGGAGGATACTCAAAGGTGCTTTTGAGACAATGCGTGAGCTATTTGTTGCCTCCACATCCTTTCCATTTCCTTCAAAACATATATTATGATCTACCGTTGCTATCCCCTTTATTGGCATGCTTCGCTGATTTGTTTGATTTAAACTCTTAGGCTGCCGTACTTCCATTTTTGTTGGTCCCTTTTGGTTTTCCTCTTTTGGGTGCTTCGTTTGGGTTTGTTGGGTCTGGGTTGTTGCCAGCGTTGCTGGCTTGATGGCAGCATGCAGCTTTTGGCTCATGCGGCGCTTGGTACCGCCGCCGGGTGTGCGGGGGGACGGGCCTAGCCATTCCTGTTTCCTTTGCGCCTTTAGGGGGCAGCGTCGCGCGGTTTGGTGGAGCACGAGAGCTCCTTGCATCTGGACGCTTACTGCTGCTCCTGCGCCAGGTACTTCAGCAACAGCGTCGCTTTGCGACAGCACGCTGTGGCTCAGCAGCACGCGATCGACGCTCGATTCGCGTTGCCTGGTGATCAATGACTGATCAAAATCACCCTCCACACACCTCTACCGAACCTAGCTTTCCTGGAACGCCGCTCTGAACACTCCTGCATCAGTTCCACCTTCTGATGCACCACCTGCTGAAGGTGGAGGGTCGAAAGAAAAATCTGCGGACCCTGATGAACAGGAGATGGACGAGGCTGCCAAAAAAGCGGAGCTAGCCAAGAAGCTCCGAGACATCAAGGCGGATGATGGGGTGAAGAGAACGCGCGTGGTTGATGGCGTGCATCTTCCTACACTGCCAAGCAACTTCGAACCCATGCCGCCCGTGCAATCAGTGGACGCCTTGAACATTGCAGGAACTGTGGCCAATGCGGTCGGATGCCGTTTCGCAGTACCGGCACAAATCTACGTCAGGATGTTGTGCTCCTGGTTTGAGGCACCGTCCATGATGTCCTTCCTGGGGATATGCATCTGTGTCGCCTTCACGTAAAGGCTTCCAGGAAGGGGTCCACAGAAGGTTCTCCGCCGCAGGACAGGAGCGCTCATGTCATACGGGCCTCCACGCCTCCTACACCCTTGTACGTGGAGCTCCCGGCACCGCGGCTTGAAAGCTAGCGAAGCTTCTGTGGAGGCCGCAAGGTTGAGCTCCTACGTATACGTAGTGTAGAGGTCTAAGCCTATCTTCGTGAGGTGGAGACGACATGGGCATGCCACGAGCAAGCATGCCATGCTGCTACGTCCCCTTTGGCCCTGATCGCCTGGTTACGGCCACACTTCCTCATGGACTCCTTCGGCGGCAGTTGGTGCAATGCAATGGTTATCTTTGCCTTTTCTTGTCAACGGTCAAAGGCACTCGCTTTTTTCGACGAGGCAAAGAATGTGATTACAGCCCAGACATCTGTCCAGTGGGAGCGTCAGGAGAGTGAAGGTCAGGAACCAGAAGACTTGAAGAAAGGGAAGGGGACCAATGAGCCAGCCAAATCCTGCCTGTAGCCTCACCCCATGTGTGTCGCGTGGCAATGAACTACAAGCTGCTTTTCTAAAAGCTTGCAAGCAAAGCGAATCTGACAAGGTGGCTTAGGCAAGGATTTTAGATCAGTGAAAGGGGCTTATGAGACTATGACGGTTTGGCTGAAATGGATCCCATCATGCTCATGGGTTTCCTTGCCATTGCCTCCCAGATTTGGTCTTGCTTCGCAAGCCCATGCGATTGTGCCAGCAAGACAAGCTGCACAAGCTTGCGTAGGTTGAGGAGTCAGCCAAGCCTCAGTACGAAGGAGATGGAACCAAACTGCGCAAGTAGGACCCAGGCCTGGCTGGCAGGCTTTTGCTGGCTAGTGGCAGAATGTTGTCCTTCATGCTTTAGACTCTTGCAGGCACAGCGCTGTGGCAATTTGCGTTGCAGTTGCACAGGGTGCCAAAAGCCTGCTGGAGAATTGCTGGCAGGTTTTGTAGGCAGGGATCCCTGCTGCAGTGTAGCCCTGAGAGCAGAGCAAAACAGTCAGCCTGAGTTCAGTTGCTTCAGTTTTAGCTGCAAGTGTGTGTTTTCTGGGCAAGGGTGAAGCTTGTGTTGCCTGTGATGTCTTGCGACTTGGCAATCTGCGCAACGCAGGTGCTGCAGTGTGACGTGCTTGCATACATGGAACACAGCTTGCAGCTCAAGCCCTGCGCATTTCCTTCCCTGCGCTGCAGATCATGGCTTTTGCAGTGTGCATGCTGGCGGAAGTTCCGATGAGTTGGGCTCCGACATTAGCTTCCCCAACTCCACACCTGTGAGGGGAACTGAGGATGGAGCTGAAGACTCACCAGCGAGGCAGAAGCCTGCCAATGCGAACGCACGAGGGTGGTCAAGATGGCAAGGAAGTCGCCTATGAAGTCCACATTACTAATGAAGTCGCCTATGAAATCTATAAAGACTACCAAGTCCTCTTTGCCGATGAAGTCGCCTGTGAAGTCCTCTGATTTCTTTGAGACAGCTGAGGCTGATGAAGAGCTGGATGCGTTTGAGCGTGGGAACACTGGCAATTCAAGGGCCCGCGTGCAAGCTGCCTTGTTGCAACCGGGCAAGGAGCATGCCAGGCGGCTGGCCTTTGAGGATGCCAATCGGCACTGAAGGCACTGCTGGGTAAGATTCAGGTCAAGACCGCCACCGGCCAGCTCTATTCCGGCTTCATTGCCTGGTTTGACTCCCTGAGCAGGACACCGCTCCTAAAAAACAAGCCAGCACTACGCTTGGAGAGCTGCCTTTCAGTCTGCTTAGCCGCATACCTAATGACCAGCAGGGAGCCGCGCTGATGATGGCCATTCAGGCGATACCGATGTCCCAGCGCAAGAACTTCACTCGTGTTGTTCTCGATGCATGGCATTGAGCTAAGGGCGGAGAAGCTGCCAGAGGTTGAAGCTGCTGAAACGCTCTGCGTACAATGCCCTGCTCCGGTGGTGCTCATTGGAGACGACGCTAAGCCTGAAGCTCGATGAGCTCAACAACTCACATGAAGGTGATTTAGTCACGTTGCGCCGCGCCGTCCCTGAGCTACACAGGCTTGCATGTAGCGGGCTTTGGGTTCCCTGCGACAGCAACAAGATGTGGTGGCCAACGCCTTCAAAAGCCATACAAGAGTGCAGAGAGGCATTGGTGACTGCTTGCGCGGTTGCTGTAGAAAGTGCCGCAAATCAGTTCGCCACAGCCACTGAGCTGCTGCTCGGCTACCGCAACACCAGCGGAAAAAAAGCCGCTCGAGCGAAAGAGCTTGCTGAGTTCCGTCCTGCTCCAGGAGCTGTGCGTTGCCGTTCGTGCGCACCGGGCCCGGGCTGCGTTGCGGCGGCGTTGTGCGGCGGAGTGAGCTGCACCCCCAGCGCTGCCTTTTGGGGCTCGACCTGAGTTAGGTCAAGTGGCAGGGCTAGGTACCTCCAGAGGAAGGCGCGCAACGAGGTGCGGCAGGCTCCCACGACGCGCAGCAACGGCACAAGCCAAGCCACGCAAGACCTCGGCGGCGCCAGGCTCCCAAGCGCCGGTGGTCTCGACGACAAGCGGCATAAACTTGACGCCCTGCTTGGCAAGGTCTCAAGTCGCTGGGAAGCCGTGACGGCAAAGTCAAGCGCGACCCGCCAAAGGCAGGAAGGTAGACATCCGCCGGCCGCCGCCGGGCAGACTGCGTGTCCTCCGGACGCTGAGCCCAGTGGAAGACCAGGTCCCGCACAGCGTAATGCCGTTGGGTGCGTTCCCCTCTGCCACACGCACATCCCGGCATGGCGGGAATGCCTGTCAACGGCGTCGCACATCGTGCACAAGGTGTCCGCAGCAGCGTCGGGCACACACAACCGCACGGCGGCCAGCAGCAGAGAGCTGAATCGGCCTGTCGGCCGGCTGGGCGCTCAGAGACGCCAAAGCAGCGCGGACCTTCTTTTCAGAACCACTGACGGTTTCTTTCGTTCGTGCTGGCTCTGGCTCGTCGACCGCTTCCGCGTATTTCTCGGACACCACGATGCTCTCCTTTCGTGGCGCGGGGCAAGAGGCTTCTCCCCTGCATCAGCCCCAATACCAGTCTTCTTGGATTGCAGGTGTGCCCCCTTTGCTATGCCTCCATGGCTTGGTGTACCTTTGCACTCCTGCCCGGCCCGGTCCTGTAACCTTAATGAATGTACAGGCTTTGCACCGTCATCCTAATCAAGCCTTTGATTGGCCCGTCGATTCGGCACCAAGTGCATGCTGACAACTTACCGGTGTCGGGGTGTGTTTGTTGCTTTGCTTCGTCGGTTTCGTTCTCAGCACAGCGTGCGGCCGTGTGTCTTGTTTGTTTTTGCCGCTCTCTGGCTATGCCCTGTCTTTGCTTCGGTCACATTGCCTCGTTGCCGTAACGGTAACGACTCCCCAGTAAGTTGTCGGCATGGTTAGGTAGGTTGTAGTCATGATAAAAAAATATAGGGCTTAGTTTCCTTCACAGAAATGTTATTTATAACCTATGCACACAGTACATTGAACATTAAAACAACGTGCCATCTTGTTTGGTTGCAGTTGCTTCCATTCAAAAATCGAGCTCGGCACGGGTATCCTGAGCACTTGTTTAGGCAGAGGGAATCAGCGCCCACATGCTGATCGCCAACAAGCCGGTGGGGGCCAGTGCGAGCCCCAGTGGTTGCTTTCCTTCGAGACCATCCATTTGTTTCTCTTTGTTCCCCGTGTTTTTTTTATTATTATTTTTATTTTATCATTTTTGTTGGGTCTAGGTTCAGGGTTAGGCGCTTGCAGGGGGTTTTTCTCGTTTTCCTTTTGGCTTGCTTTTTGCGGGTGTAGGTGCAGGGTTAGGCGCTTGGACGGGAGGGGGTTCCCTTCAAACCACCACTCACATGGCAGTTTGGAGGATCTTGAAATAGGCAGGGCGTGATTTTGAACTTTGACGGGAAGCCAACAGAGGGAGCACAAATGTTAGGGTCCCCCTATTTTGACACATCAGATGACCCAAAACTGAGTGGTTTTCTTTGTGTTTCCCTTTTGTGTTGTTGAGTTGCTCTTGAGCATTAACCAATTGACAACACCAAGCATTCTGCACGCATTGTTTATGGGTCGCGTTTTCTTTGTTGCCCAACAGAGGGGTTTCGAGGACAATTAGCTGTTTGTTTTAGACTCCTGACCGAATCATGGAAGGTTTGATGGCCCTTGGAAGTGACGAGCCTTGCAGGTTGAAGGACTTCACACAGTGCTTGGAGGATTGTTTTTTATGAAAGGGGAGCCGAGGGAAATAATAATCGTTTCCTCGAAAAGGAAGGGTGCCATTTTGTGAAGTATTCCTATTTTGTGACAAGCCCATAATTTAACTGAAGCTTCATGAAAGACCTGCACCAATCCCATTTTAGTAGGTTGTCCTACTACCTGGTTCATAGGGTTATGGTATAGTATATATATAGATATATATATATATATATACATATGTTTAATATATATATATTGTATACATATTATATATATATATATATATTGTAGTTTGACAACAAGCCATTTGTTGGAGGAGGCTTCCCTTTCAATTCAACAACAAACGCAAAGGGTGCTCGTTCTGTCACACGGACATCCACTCAACCAAAGATTCACGTTTTATGTTTGTTTGTTTGTGTTGTGTTTGTGAGTATGTTTTTGTCCCGCAAGCGCATTGAGCAAACACTTAGACTTTGCGTGCTCGAGAACCAACAGTTAGGGTAATTCTCAGGGTAAAACCAAAGTTCATGGGGTCTTCGGGTAGATAAGCCTTATACGAATCCTCTCATATATATATATATATGTAGAGCCCCAAGTTTATGCTTTATGACTTAGTGCTAGTTGAACCCATCTGCGTATTGACAACATCTTCCAACCTGGCCAGCGCCGCGGCAGTTTGAGCGAGGCTGCACGGAGCGGGCGATCCCTGTGAAGATCTTTTTCGCCGAGGAGGACGTGAAGAAGGCGGCGGGTTGAGGGGTTGAAGCCCCAAATAAGGCCGACAATAGGAGCTTAATGAGGGTTTTTGGGGCTCCCTCCTCCTTTCTTGCCCCCCACTGTTCCTAGAGGTGGATGTCTTGTCCATTCTTCTCAACCATCGTTCTTTTGAAAAGCCGATCGCTGTTTCCCCAAAGTTTTGGGTGGTTCTTTAGAAAGAAGGATGCCTGGAAAGAATGGGGGAAGGTACCCCTAGAGCTGCGGCCACCAAGGGATCCACGTGTAGCGACTCGAGGCCTGGGTTGAGGCTATGGCAACCAGACTGCCAGCGATCCACACGATGGAACCCATGCACCTGCCTTGTTCTTTGGAGGGGGTTCCCTCAAAATCAACGGAAAGAAAGGTGCTTTGTTTGCCATTGCGGCTGAGGGACTGGGAGATAGTTTCCACTTTCTAGCGACTCTATGAAGAGCGCGTGGGGGTTCCGGAGCATGTGCCCTTCATATGCTGTCTATGTGGTGTCTATGGAATGTTGTTGTATACCCGGCTTTTCCAGCAGCAAGGGGGTGGGGAGGAGGATCTTGCACATGCAGAACCCCCACCCCGAGTTGCTTTGGGGTCAAAAAGGACCTATGTTGACGAGGAATTCAATCCCCAAGTTCCATCGATGGGACGCGGGTCCAGCCTTTTTGTTCGTCCAACTTATTGACCTTCATTTCCCCTGGACAAGCAGCAACGTGTCGTGAATGTTTCGGTCGGACAGGTCCAACGGTCGGACGGGTCCTCGGTCGGACGGTCGATCGCGTTCCATGAGGTGTGGCTGCGGCAATGGCTTCAAGACTCCAGCTTGACGGACTTCGACATGCGCTCGATCATTGACTGGGAGTACTACAAGGACAGCCGTGGGCCTGTTTTGAACCATCCAGTAGTTGAAGCAACCCACGGCCACCCACCCACCCACCCGAAAAAATAAAAATAAAATATTGGAGTGGGTGCAAAGGGCGTCCTCTGTTGGTTGTTGGTGCACAGCTAGGCTCTGGGCAAGAGTTGTTCCATCCAGACCCGTTTCGGCCTGCAAAGCAGGGGAGGACACAGCCTCCAAATGACTTCCTCCCTTCTTTCTTTTGTTTGCTCGAACGGAACTTGATGGCAGGAGTTACCCCCTCCCCGGAACAAAACAAAGAAGTTTGGTGTCCTTTTGGTGTCCCTTATCCAGACCTGCGGTGGTGTCCTTTTTGTTGGTCACCAAGAAGCTGGCAACCGGCAAGAGCACCGTGGTGTTTTGCTGGGAATCCGCCCATTTTGAGGGCCCTCCCCAATTTCGACACATCCGCTTTCTTAGGGTGGCAAAAAAAAACCTGCCCAAAAACACGTCCGCCTTCTGTTCCCCGGGCGCAACTGAACAGGTCCATCCCTTTTGGGATGGATTTGACGGAAAACCAAGAGGACACCAACCCGGCCCGCCAACAATGCATGAAAATCCTCAGAATCAGGAGCCCTAATCAACTATGACCTCGGGGGACAGTGACATCTAAAGATTTACTACAGCCCAGTCCAGAATCAATCATCGGTTGATTGGGCAAAAGCTGAGGTGGTCAGACTTTTACCAGCTCTGGTCCTTTTCCTCCAAACTTCCAATTGCTTGCGCTCCTGGGAAAATTCAACGTATATTTCCAGTAGTGATAGATGCCCTGTAAAGCCAACCAGGGAAAACAACAACATATTCATCTCAGCAAATGGAAGCACATGGAAGCTGTGCGAATCGAGTGGAGGAGCGGCTTTGCGCAGTGTTCCAGAAGTTGATCAGCATCCCGGCGCGCGGCCTCAGCGCTTGAGAAAGCAAACCCACGCTTACCCCACGGTCAGATGGGAGTTTTCTTTGGGGGGAACCTCCGTTTTAGCGGTTTTAAAGGGAAGCCAAAAGGAGAGCCACCCAAAAAAATGCGTTCTGTTTGTTCTTTCTTTTTTTTTTCCGGGGGGAACCTCCGTTTTGCAGGGTTTGAAAGGCAAAAAGAAAGCGCCATTTTGGGAGGGTTCCCCGGAAAATAAGATACACCCAAATGGGTTCGCTTTTGTTGAGAGTACCGTATCTTTCGGGGGTGGTGTAATGGAAAGAGCACCACCATTTTGGCGAGCTCCGCGCTCCTATTTTGGTACATTCCCATTTGGAGTGCGCAAAACAACGGCCCTGAAAATGGGTGGATTTTGTTGTGGTTTTCTTTTAGAGGCCATGGGGTCCCATATTGTTCTACACCCAAGTCTCGAGAAAGGTGTTAAGTTGAAGTAGTGCAGCATGAGGGCTTACGGCATAGGAGTGCATGCGTAGTGGCCGTGTCTTTTTTTTGAGGGTACTAGTGTACTCTTTGCGGGAACTTTTAAATGGAGACCAGGGCAAACCGCTGGCTTTTGGGGGGTTGCCCTATTGAGCCAATCCCAAGTAGAGAGTCACTGACAATATGCGGTTTAGTAAACCGCCCAAGCTCGAAACCACTGGGCTCCAAAGTGTCCGTGTCACCTTTTGATCGACCCTAAGCAGGGCTCCTTAGAAGATCGATACAGTTTGCAACCAATTGAAACATGTTGCTTTTTGCAGCAAAATAAAGGGACACCACCATTTACAAGTTGCAATGTTCAGGTGTATAATGATTACCAGTAAAGCCGGCAAGCCGGGTGGCGGAAGTTTCAAAAATATAAAAACTATAGTTATCTTTCTCTTTCTTTTCTTGACTCTTTTTCTCCGTCATTCTTCCTTTCTTCCTTTCTTTCCTTCCTTCCTCCCTTCTTTCCTTCTTTCTATCTGTCTTTTTTTTCTTTCTTTCGTTTGCTTGTCTATCTATCTTTCTCTACCTATCAATACCTAACTACCTGTCTATCTATCTCTCGTGTTATCTATCTATCTGCTTATCTATCTATCTATCTCTCTATCTATCTTCTCTATCTATCTCTCTATCTCTCTATCTATATATCTACCTATCTCTCTATATCTCTATCTATCAATCTCTCTATATCCCTCTATCTCTGTCTCTCTCTTTCTCTATCTGTCTCTCTATCCCTCTTTCTTTCTATCTTTCTATCTCTCTATCTCTCTTTCTTTCTATCTATTATTTATCTCTCTATCTCTTTCTCTATCTATTTCTATCTATCTATCTATCTATCTATCTATCCATCTATCTCCCGCGTATCTATCTATCTATCTATCTATCTATCTATCTATCTATCTATCTATCTATCTATCTATCTATCTATCTATCTATCTATCTAATCTATCTATCTATCTGTGTATCTCTCTATCTATCTATCTCTATATATCTCTGTCTACCTATCTATCCATCTCTCTCTCTATCTCTCTATCTCTCTATCTATCTATCTATCTATCTATCTATCTATCTATCTATCATTATCTATCTATCTATCTATCTATCTATCTATCTATCTATCTATCTATCTATCTATCTATCTATCTATCTATCTATCTATCTATCTATCTCTCTATCTCATTATCTCACGTGTATTTATCCATCTCTCTATCTCTCTATCTATCTATCCATCTGTATTTCTAATTATCTATAGATCTACCTATCTATCCATCTCTCTATCTACCTCTCTTTCTACCTATCTATCTATCTATCTACATCTCTATCTATTTATCTATCTATTTATCTATCTATTTATCTATCTATGAATTTATATATCCATCTATTTATTTCTCTGTCTATCTACCTATCTATGTATCTCTCTCTATCTCTGTTTCTATCTATTTATCGATCTATCTATCTATCTATCTGTCTATCTATCTATCTGTTTGTTTATCGTCGTTTATCTATTTGTTTATTTATCTCTCTATCTATCTATCTATCTATCTATCTATTTATCTATCTATCTATCTCTCTATTTCTCTCATCTATCTATCTATCTATCTATCCATCTATCTATCTCTCTCTCTCTCTCTATCTATCTATCTCTCTATCTCTTTATCTCTCTCTCTCTCTCTGTCTATTTATCTATCTATCTTGCTCTCTCTCTCTCTCTATCTATCTATCTATCTATCTCGTTCTCTATCTCTTTCTATCTTGACTTCGCGTACTACTTTCGTACTTAAAAGTTGCGATTTTCAAGCCCGGCTGCGAAAGTGGACTTCGCGCACTACTTTCGTACTTAAAAGTTGCGATTTTCAAGCCCCAGCTGCGAAAGTTGACTTCGCTTACTACTTTCGCACTTAAAAGCTGCGATTTTCGAGCCCCGGCTGCGAAAGTTGACCTGCAACAGTGCTGCACCTGCCACGAAATCTGTACTTGACCTCGCGAAAGTGCTGCGCCTGCCACGAAATCTGTACTTGACCTTGCGAAAGTGATGCGCCTGCCACGAGTTTTGCACTTGACCTTGCGAAAGTGATGCGCCTGCCACGAATTCTGCACTTGACCTTGCGAAAGTGATGCCCCTGCCACGAAATCTGTACCTGACCTCGCGGAAATGCTGCCCCTGCCACGAAATCTGCATGCGCCGCCTTGCGCGTCCGTGCCAATGGGATTTGCGATGCGTCCGTGCCAGAAGTAAGAAAATGCCGCGCCTGTCACGAAATCTGCACTTGACCTTGCGAAAGTGATGCACCTGCCACGAAATCTGTACCCGACCTTGCCAAAATGCTGCGCCCGCCACGAAATTTGAACCTTGCGAAAGTGTGCGCGTCCGTGCCAATGGTCCCGGCGCGAGTTCGTCTCGAGACCGTCCCGAGCCCGTCCCGAGACCGCCCGAGACCGTCTCCGTCAGACGCCGCGACCGGGGTAGCTTTCAGCCAGCCGGAGAAGCCAAAACCCGCAGAGGGTTGCACTTTTTGCAGGTTTCTATTCCCCCGCCACACGTATACGCACGTTTTCTCGCATGCATTCATTCTTTCTTCATCTCATCTTTGCGCAGAGCTACCTTTCAATTAGTTTCCGTAACTCGGAAGTTTCCTTCTAGACTTCCTTTGTATAAGGATCCCTGCCAAGATACGCACAAAAGTTTGGAAGACTCCACGGTGATTAAACGGGCGACTTTCCTTGGGAAACGGCATTGCCAAAGAAGCGGGCACCAGGTTTGGGGGTTTCGGGGGCACTGGACGAAATCCACGCGAATCAGTCGGCAGTTGGGATGGATGAATGCCGATTTGAAGACTCAAACCCCATCCAGTGGCAACCCGTCGGTGGGGTGTACTCACTAACTTGGCCGAACGTCCAAGTGCTTTGTTTCGATGTTTGGGCGATATCACAGACCCAGGGAACCAGGAATTTCTAATGGAAATTGGCCGAGCAACTATCAAACACAAGTGTTTCCTGTAGACATTTCTCTGGAGATGATAGCAAGAAGATAGTCTTAACCAAATGTTTACTGCAAGCTTCTGCGATTGTCGGTGGGGCAAAGGTTACTGATCCAAGGATCTCTGGGTGCCGCTAACTGTGCAAGACCAGTTGAAAGTCAAAGCAGGCTTGGCAGGCTTGCTCATACAAAGGTCAGACAACGCTGATTGGGAGGTCTGAACTGGTGGTTTGGGGATTTGAACCCCTGGTTCTTGTAGAGGGTTCATGGGAAACGGGCCAATCTGCACCAATCCAAACCACATGCACAGCCACTAGGAAGCTGGAACCGGGGGGTTTGGGGAGTGGAATTTCACCTGTTCGGGCCTGACCTGTGCTTCGCCAGTTCCTTTTCCTGAAGTCTGTCTTGGGAGCATCCTGGAGCCCCGGACGGGGCAAATTGGAGTTGGGGGTCGCATGTGCTCCCCGGCCTCAGCTCGCATCGTCGAAGATCTTGTTTGCCCTGCTCAAATAAGTCGTCCTGCATCGAATATCTCATCATGCTTGACTACATGTCCGCAGTCCGCAGTCCAAGCTAGGCTAAGTCTGCTTTGCGCAGTCATGCCTACAGTCATGCCGCTTGTTGGCTTCGCGAGGTTTCAGGGAACACCTGTCGGAGGCGAGAGTATCTCAGCTTCTCATCATGGGTGGCGAACAGAGCTTGGATGCTGAAGGAGCGGCAGAACATCAAGCACAGAACTCCTAGATGGGTGTGGGGCAAAATGGGTACCCAAAAGGGAACCCTGGTAAATGGAAACAAAGGCTAAAACCTACAGTTTTGTGGTGGTTGAATTTTGACCCATACGCACATGCTCAAACCTAGGCTTCAGGGAGCGAGTTCTCCGAAGGAACGTCCTCTCTCAGCGCTGACCGGTACCTTAATGCTATACTAGAATAAACTAGAAATTCCCAGGATCGTGCCCTTCTCTCCCCTTTTTTGGGGGAGGGTTCGCCTACTAAAATAGACTACAGAAAAGGGTGCCCTTATTCCAACCTTTTTCACTGGAGGACCTAGTATGGACGACACCTGGCATCTTCGAGAGACAAGCTTGAACTGTGTCACGTGCTGTCGCGTTGGAGGACCACGGTGTTCTGCTTTGAGCCGAGCTGAAACAGAGGGGGTCAACCCCTGTTTCCTTTTGAAAGCAAATGGGGTTCAAACCAACAAGTTCGCACACATCATCACCAATGATTGGGTAACCTGAGACGTGGGCCATGAGCATGTCGTGTCGGCATTTTTTGGAAAGTGAACTGGACCCTGGGAGAGTTTGTTATCGTCACCCCCCCCCGCTGTGTGCGGCTGGGGGGATGCCAACAAAGGGACGCTTCGACACATTCTCCCAAGGGAAGTACATGTGGTTTTCAACATTGCCTTTCGGCAAGACCGAAGTGAGGCTTCTCTGGATAAGCGCTGATCACGTCCTAGGCGGCCTATCAGAAGATTGCGAACCCGTGCCCAAGGGTGAAGGCGCCTTTTGTCGAGTCGGCGTCGCGCTGCGAACACCGGCTTGGGGTGTATTATTGCTTGAGTTCCAAAGGAAACCAAAAGGGGGGGGGTTTGCCAGGCTGCCTACAGTTTGTTGATTTCTCCAAGAGAAGCCCGGAGAGGTTGGCATTTGTGAAGTTCAGACCTCCCTATTCAACACCCTCCTCAGAGACTTGCCCGGGAGTGGCGCTTGTTGGGAATTTGCAACATTCTCATCGACTGCATCATTCAGGAATTCGCTTCAACTTGTGATCTATCTTTGGTCGAGTATTAAAAAGTGGTATGTTGATGATGTGTATGTGTGTATATGTATGTATATATGTGTGTTGTATGTTACACAGTATATTCACATACCGTGTGTATGTGTATATATATATATACAGAACATGCGCCTAGGGGCAGTTCTCGGGGAATGGGTGTTTCTCAAGACAGGAAGACGCCTAGAAACAGGTTTTGGGGTCCAGACTGCGTGCCAATCTTTGGACCTTTTGTTGCGTTTACTTTCCGGGCGATTCATTTTGGAAACGGAACGCCCTCAACCGGGTCCCCACCGCTTGCTGTTTGCTTACCGGAAGGGGATTTTGGAGTAAGGGGATTTTGGACAGGATTTTGCAGTTGGGACCCGGGTGCCGGTTTAAGATCAACTGTTAGCACAGGTTACAATGACTTTTCCCCCATGGAGTTCCATTGGGCCTGAGTCGCATTTGGGAATGCCTAGCGTGCTGTTGCTAAAGAGGTCGTTGGTTGGTGGCCTCTCGGAAGGCAAAAGGGGCTAAACTCAACACATTTCAATTCAGCTCAACTTGCCACGAGACTTCTCAAATGTCCTGGGGGTCTCGAAAGGAGGATGCTCGAAAAGCAGAGCTTAAACTTAGGGCACATACATGTTGCTGGTGGCGGAAAAAGGTGAACGCAGTAAACAATGCAAGGATATCAAACATACTTTTCCCAGTTTGACCTGACTCCAAGTATGTTAGGAAGCTCACCGCAATGACAGATGCCAATGCCAATTACGAAAAGTAATGTTTGTTTGTATTCCGCGCCCTCTTGTGATGGAATTGGGGATTCTGTTTTCCCTGACAAGACACGGGAATTGGGGGAACACCCTCTAAATTCAGTACGGGACTTTTTGTCTCCATGGCATAGTGTTTGTGTTTTACATGTTTTGTTGGCTGGGCTTGCCTTGCAACGAAACCAGCCGAGCAAAGGTGAGCAAAAGAACCTTCACTTCCACTTCACCTTTTTTGTGTGCTTTTGTACTTGATTAAATGGGGAGCAAAACGGAAATGCTGTTGGTTGCAAAGGATTGGCAAACTCATCCATCCTACTCGCTTTTCACAGCCTTGAAACTTCCTTGCCTGCGGATCCCTGTGAAATAGAAGAACTCGTTCGCCCGGCTCTCGTTTGCGCGGGTCGTGGTCTACTGGCTTGATCTCTGAAAACGGATTCCGATGGCGCTGGGCAATTCTCGGAAGTCGCATGGCTTGATCTACAGGTTCCGAACGGCGCCTTCATCCTAAGCTCCTTTCTTGTCAGCTTTGGGATCGAGACCCCCGCCCCTTGATGTGCTGCGATTCGCAGGGGTGGGAAGGGTTCCCTTGACTTCACCCACCCGGAACCTTTCCGGAACGGCGCTCCAAACCACTGGAGGTCTGATTGGATTTGGGCCAAATAACCACTGACATCTTACCCTTCCTCCCACTAACATGGCAAGTGACAAGGGGTCCATTGAAGAGGAAGAGGAAGTTGATCTTCCAGTTTCTTCCCGCAGATGCTGCGCTTGAGGAGGGTGCCCAAACAGTTTCATCCGCCAAATTGGGTCCTCTGATTTCTTGACTGCTATTGGGTTGGATCTTTAGACTTTAACTTGTTGGGAAATAAAGGTGTTTTCCACCAAACCCCAAAGAGTTATTAACTTTTTGCAGGGGGGTCAACAGCAACCAAGATTTTGGGGGTTGAAGCCTAGGCCGTTGAGAGCAAAGACCAGCGAGCGAGTGCGCGAGTGCCAGGTGCCGGAGTGGCTTCGCAAGCGGGTGGCGGAGCAGAACGCCGGGGCCCTGCCAGTCACCAGAGCTCCCCAAACTGGGTGAGTTATAACAACCTCACGGCCAAAAAGTCGCCCCAAGTGGGTTTATGTGGTTGGAATCGCCCCCAAAGCACCTGATTTCAGGCTGAAGGCAACCCAGTGGGTCTAAAATTGGCCTGACCCCTCAAGCCAAGGGAGGGCCCTTGGGCTTCAGATTGGTTGGATCTGGTACCTGAAATGGAATCTCAGGTTCTTTCCGGGCATGAAGGGAATGTTTCAGCAGTTTGGCTGAGCTCACTTCCCGAGTTGCACTTTGTTCCTTTTGGAAAACGAATTTGGTGTTCAACAACAGCTTGAGCTTTGTGTTGTCCAATCCACCAGGAAAGTGGGTTGAGGGTCAAGCCACGGCCGTTGTATTGCAATGGTTGGAAGCAGGGCTTGACTCGCCCGTTGTTACTCTTTTTTCTCCCCCTCCCTAAAGAGTTGCGTGTTTGAATGTGGGACTGCACCTGGGAAGCGGAAAGACACAGTTGATCTGTAAGTCAGCCGTCGAACTGTGTTTCATTCGAGGTGCGCGACCCAGGGCATGATACAATTGAAAATCATGATGTTTTCCACTCAGCAAAAGTTAACGTTTTTAAACAGTAGGCAATAGCCGCCAAACATATGTCATTTTTGGATGAATCCGGGCAATCAGAGGTGTTGAGGAAGTTAGTAAGTTGTGTTGTTAGTTGCGCGGGTTTTAACTCACGTATAAGCTGTTTTATGCGGGGTTAACCCAGTCATTAGTGGGTTACAACCCAGGTGGCTAACCACTTGCCGGAAAATAGATCATTTGCTAGAAAGCGACCCTCTGACTGAGTGCGGCCGGGAATTTGAAGCGAAGAAGCCTTTTCCTCCCACCAAATATGGATTCGCCGGCCCCGTTCAGAAGGCGACTTTTTCGGGTAGACCTCGGGTCCGGTGCTAAATAGCCTGTAGTTGTAAGTCAATTTTCACCAAAGGGGGGGTCCCAGCACCCCCCACCCCCCAACTTCTTGCACAGTACTTGGGATTTTGGACATGTGAAACAGCATTTGTTGGGGGAGTGCTGGTCATTGTTTCATCAATTTGCTCAGAAGAAACCCAAAAGGGCATGGGTAATGGGTCATTTGGTTGAGTTTTCTAGACCCTCATGGCTACACCCAGACCCACTTGGTCGATAGGACACCTTCAAGCAGCGATCTCTGGGGATGTGGCTGCGGAAGGCTCCCACCAGGTGGGCTCCGGGCCGCATCGCGACGATGCACATGAGGGACGCCGAAAGGTCACACAGCAGCTTTGGGGGAAGCCCCGGAGTGGAGGTTTCATCATTGCACACCCCCAAACTCCCTAAAGACGAATTGGTCAGTTTGTTTGGAGCGCAGCTAGTAGAGGGAAGCCATGTCCAGCGCATTCATTGCTCAGAGACCCAAATTCGTTTGTTCGTGCGTTTCATCATTGACCTCCAAGGGAAGTTGTGAGAAAGCTATCGACAGCTATCACCTATTCATCGCTGAAGAAGGGCATTATTCTTGGCTTGTCCCTGGGCTAGGCCTTCGGTGTTCGGCCAAGTTAGCAAGTTGTCAGTGACCTGGGTTTTGACCCACTTCTCAGCCTCCTGAAAGGGTTTTTCACCCCAGTCAGTGGGATAGAACCCAGGTAGCAAACCACAAACCCCTGGCAACGACGACGGACCTGCAGTTTGCTTCGTCAGGTGTGCAGACGACGACCTCTATGAGGCATTGGCGAAAATTGGTTCAAGCCACCACCATGGGCCTTCTGTGTGGTTGTGGAAAGTCGGGTTTTAGGGTCAGTTTACTGTGAGACTGAGGGGATTCCGTTTAAAGTAGTAGTCATCGGAATAAACTGCGTACTACAGGGATATGCTTCCACAACCGTGAGGAAGACCTGAAGGAGGTTGTTTAGGCAATGGTGCTTTCGGGGTGCAAAGGCGACTAGACCGCTTGGGCCATACCCTCAAGGGTTGTCCCAATGGAGTAGAAGGTGTACCTGGACCCTCAAACTACCCATGCAAAAGGGCAATTTAACCAACCATAATTACATAATGTTGGGGCAACAACTCATGTTTTATGCGAATGTTGAGGCTCTAGGTTTATGCAGGACAAGTTCAAGTTGTTCGTGCAAACGAAGGCTTGGCTTGCCCGGAATCCTGTCTGAAGGCAACAGATGCTGAAAACAGCTATGCTTGAATTGGAAGTTGAGCACGGATCCATTGATTGAACATCGCATGATTTGACTACTGCGGTGTTGCACACTGTCCGCCATTTTGCTTAAAATGAGTGTTTCTTTCCCACCCACCCTCACCATTTCCCTGCCTCTAGTGCCACCGGACGGAGGAGCGGGGAGAACGTCCAATCGGCGATGTCTGTCTGACCTTGTGGTCTGCAGGCCTTGGATTGCATTCCTTTCAGTTGTACGTTACTTCGAGTCATGGACAGTACGACCCCGGACATGAAAAAGTGTACCGCGGTTGCAGCAATGCTGGTTGAAGCATGCCTCGCTGGAGCGAGTCGTTGTTATGAAGCTGCAATGTTTGATGCTTCCAAAAGACATTCATTTGGACCGCAGGCTAAGCGGATGCTGCGGCACCATCAGTTCCTTGTTCCCCCACCACCCCCTCGACACCGCAAACACTAATCCGAGGAACTGACAAAATGCAAGCCGATTGATTAGTTGAGGGAGGACATAGCCTCAAAATGTCTCACTCACTTAGACTCACTTCCCGAGTTCCTGGACTTCTTGCTTTTTGAGAGGACGATTTTTGCAACTCTCAAACAGTTTGGATTATTTTGTGGCTCCTCAGAAAAAGAAACAGATACGAAGGAGCGAGGCCAACATTTTTGCCCATGCTCAGTTGTTTAAAGCTGACCATTTCACTTTCTTTTTTTTTGTTGGAACCACTTTTCGTAAAGGTCCCAAAAGGTGATCAGCTTTTTATTTCCAGGTCCGACATGTGCAACTCATGGTTGTTGTTGGGAACCATATTACATTTTGCTTGTGGTTTGCTTGAAATCCAACCACTGACAAATAAATTGCTCCCCAAACCCAACGTGAAGCACTGAGCATGTGCTCTTAAGGCTTCGCTTGCCGTCGCTTCAGGGCAAGCGCAAGATCGGCGACCTCGAGGACTTGGCAGGCGCCACAAACGGCGGCTGGTGGCGGCTGGTGACCTGGTGCTTGGGTTCCCGGTAGTTCACATGAAAAGGGTATTAATTGAACAGGGCTCCTTAAAAGATCGATGCATGTTGCAACCATTTGAAACATGTTGCTTTTTCAACACCAAAATAAAGGGAAGCCGCCATTTACAAGTTGCAATGTTCAGGTGTATAATGTAAGGATCCCTGTTGAAGCAGCAAATGCACACACACATGCAGATGACAGATGGGTTTTTGTTTTGGTTGAGGCTCGCGGGATTGTTTAAAAAGACAACCAAAACAAAAGCCGCCTTTTGGGGGGGGGGTCCTGCTATCCCGTAATGGTTGGGAAGGATGCGTTGTTTCCTACCAAACTTCCAAGGAAACGACAATCTGGTGCCTGCTCCTTACGCAAGGTGGCTCCGAGGTTCTAGGTAGACTAGTAGACCCAAATTTCTCCTGGGGGTAGTGGCTCGCAGATGGATGCAACAAAGAGGGGTAAAGACAGGACAAGGGCAAGGACGGCATACGCGCAAATAAATACGAGCTTTGTGGGTAAAGCCAGCTGGGCCATTCGAAGATCCTTTGCTATTTCTAGTTTGGGAATGAAGATACTTTGTCCAATTGTTTTTGGGAGGCTTACAGTTTTGTCCACTTGGCAATCCTTGACAGAACGAATGTGCCATTTGCTTTCACGAATCGGCAATGGGCGGGAAGGAGCAACCAGCCGGCCGTGTTGGGATCTCCCATCTACGGAGAACCCGCAAAACCGGCGATCCGTTTCGTCCTCTTCGTTTCGGGTTGTCGGCGCCAGATTCCAAGTTGGCCCCGGTGGACTTCGGCGCAGGGCCCAAGAAGTGGCTCGAGGCGTCGGTGGGGTGCGAAGTTGGTGTCAACATCCGTCCTTTTTCTTGATATGTCTGGGGTACACTTAGGATACATTTTACATTTTACCAGTGACTCAAAGTGAAGCAAACAAGTAAATATACATTCTACAACTGGGCCTATCTCTAGTCATGATGTATTTTGCATTGTGTTGCTTCGCATTCTTTTTTTAAATAAGGGCACCCCTTGTCTTCCATGTGCTGAAATGAATCTATGCTAGTATACCTAGAGATTCGTTGCGGCAGAAATTTCTGCCGCAAATACAAAAAGGCGCCTTTTTGGATTTGCGGCATTTCTTCCTGATTTGCGGCGTTTTTTAGAATTGCGGCAGAACTTGTTTTCAGTTTTTTCTACCCCCCGATTTGCGGCGGAAATCGGCGGGAATGCGGCGGAAATCGGCGGGAATGCGGCGGAAATTCCCGGAAAGCAAACGGAGTTGCGGCGGTTTTGTTTTGGTTGCGGCGTTTTTCTTTGTTTGCGGCTTATTTTCTGGAATGCGGCGGGAATTTCTGCCGCAATGCGTTGCGGCAGAAATTTCCGCCGCAGGAAGTTCTAGGTATGTTGCGTTTGTTCCTGTTGGTCTTGAAGGGAACTAATCTCGACTGGAAATCGGTTGATTTTTGTTCAGCACATTTAAGCAGATCGAGGACATCCACACACTGGTAGGGTGAAGGTAGATGGCGCGATTCTCTTTAGCTGTACCTTCCATGTCCGTTCTCTTCAGATGAGCCAATGCCTTGGGAGCTAGGTAAAGACAAATGAAAAGGGGAAGGAGGCCCCAGGCACCAATGGCAGGGGCGGTATATCCAGAGACCCGGCTGCGGATGGAATGACTGTTGGTACCCAGATTGATCTTTAGTGCCCTTTGTTCCTTTTCTTGCTGGTGCTCAGTAGGGAATACCCCTCAACATGTTGAGAGACCTAAGAACCTAGAGATTCCCTCAAAGGAAGCCATAGGGGATGGTTTCTAACCCGCAATAACAAGCATCCAGTATTTAGTAGGGAGAAGAGTGCTGTTTCGAGTCAGAGTTTTAGAGGGACTTGGCCTTCCAAGGCCACTGAAGGTCCGTCTCAGCTCCGTTCAGTCAGGTGTGGGTTCCCATGCAAGCAGCCCAAGTACCTAACATTGTGACACAGGGTTGTGGCACTGCTTGGGTTTTCACTTGAATTCCCAATAAACAACTGTTTACTCACGTGGAGAATGATCGAGTCATTTGGGCGGATCAGTTGTACCGCCGAATTTCCCGCTTCGCACACCTTCTTGTGACATGTTTGAGAAAGAGACCAGTTCTTTGGCAGAGAGACGGGCCGAAACCTGGATTGTTTGCAACGCTCTGAGACACCTGTACATGTCCACCTGTACGGGTCACCAACTTTGCTCAAGCCAATCTTTGGGGCGACGCACCGCAAATTGGTCCCTGAATAGCATTCCATAGCTGTTTCTGTGCTCAGATGGCATTGGCACTACATGCGCGGGCGAAAGGTGCTGCCTTACTCAGTCACTTTGGGTGACCCTTTCAATGAGTTCCAAATGGGTTCGTTTCGGATTCTACTTTGCAAGCAATTCAACCAATTGGTTTGTTAGAACCCGTGTCCCCTGCTCTCTGGGGGCCAGTTCTCAGAAATATTCGACAACCGTCCTTTTGCTTGTGGTTTCTCAGGTGTCACAGACCTATTTCCATGATGGAACTTGCTGCCTTCTGGGTGTCCTTCAGTGTTCCTTTGAATTCACCGGCAAGCAGTCAATGTTATCAGTTATGACAAATTGATGGGCATTATATTTTTGGCAAAGGTAGCCCTTAAGCAGTCAGGTTTATTAATGTACCCTCCCCCAGGCTAACATGGAAGCTCCCAGGATGGGTTTCATTTACAGAGCTGCTGGGAGCTTCCATGTTCGGAGGGAGTGTATCCCCAATTATGACAAGTGGGCAATGAGCCTTGACAAGGCAACCTTTTTTGGATCTATGTCTGCCAATTGGTTGGCAAATCATCCGACGCAGGTGCAGCGACTGCGGTGGACAGCAGGCGTCGCGAGTCGCGGGATGGAAGCAAAGGCATGATGTACTTGCTATGGTGGACTAGAAATGAGTGTGCGGTGTGTCTTTTTTGCGCTATTTTAGGGGTATTTGTTTAATGATGTCACGCACAGAACCCCATATGGAACAGGCTCTGCTTGTTTTTGGGTGGACCCTGGGTTTAGCCGGGCTTCCGCCAAAGTAAAGCCCAGCTGATGAGAACCCTTTTGAGATTGCTTATGAGCTCATGAAAACACCTTTGGGGATTGCTTAATTCCAGTTGGTGCATTCATGCATTGAGTATTTTAGTATTGCTAAAGTGGTTCTCCCGTGGTGACCCAGTTTAGTTTTTTGGCGCCCGAGTTCACCCCATTCCAATGATTCAGCCCCTGGTATGATATCCATGGAATTGTTGCGTTTCTTCCGAGACAAATAAGGTGTTGCTTCTGGTCCCGCCCAACCTGTGTCGAATTTGGGAGGGACTAAACCTTTCACCAAATATATCGGTGACGGACACCAATTCGTGGATGTCCAAATAGGGAAGCACATAGTTCGACATTTTAAAGTGGGGGTTGCGTCCCCACCTGACAACAAAAATGGAACATTGGGGGAGGAGAGGGATTTCGACCCCTGCCTGGGTTCTTAAAATTTTCGCCAGGACGTGAAGAAGGCTGGAGAACAGCCACCCCTTTTCCACTCAAAGTGCTGTTTGTTGCAGGTCGAGTTGGGAAACCCCTTTGGCCGGTTCATTGGTAACAAGCCCCCTCGCCTTTTTGTGTTTGAGACGATGTGAAGCACCTTTTTTTTTGTCTCGGTCCCTTGGTGAGTATGTTGAGTTCGTTTGTGGTCCCCTTTTCGTCGGGCGGGCGTCTTGATCGTTTTAGTGGTCCAATAGTCGAGTCACTTGTTCTCGCCATCTCAGCACATCAATTGGTTATGCTCAGCTGGCCAAAGCGAATCGATCTTTCAACCCTTTCGTTGTTGTCGTGTTTTGGTCCGCAATTTAGTCAAGGCCACAAAAGGTTACTTTCGTTTCCATGTCCTTGGGGCAAGTGAGTATGCGCGTCGGTTGAGTCGGCGTCCCATTTCTCCAACCCTTTTTGAGGTGAGTTGTCCCTCCAAACTGCAAGGGGGTTCGCTAGTCAGATCTATACGAATAGAGGACCCCAAAACAGTCACAAAATCCTGAATTCGCAAAAACAAAACAAGCACTTTATATAGTGGCCCCTATCATCAAAGGAGGTGCAACCACTATATTGGCTGTGTCCCGCAGTAGTGCCCTTTTTCACCCATTTTTGGGGCACGGTTCCCCTGTTAAAATAGACAAAACAAAAACAAGGTACCCTTTCTAACCTCTCTATTGGAGGACCTAGTTTCGGTTTGGTGGAAGTTTTTGGGTTGAGCCATGGGTGGGGAGGAGTTTAAAGGAGGTGCAACCATTATATTAGTGTCTCGTTTTTTTTTTTAATATTATTATTTTTTCGGTTTCGTGATGTCTCCTCTCGGAGCTTCCTGTTGCAAGTGCACCTAGTGCTCGCCCAATTTTCGCCAGGCGCCTCAAAGAGCGCCTCGGCTTCGGGCATTGTGAGCCAGGGGTCCGTGGGTTGAGCAGCTGACGTCTTTCCAACGTGTTGCCTTTTGGTTTTTGGCATGTTGCGCTCTTGACTTCTGATTTGTTGCTTGCACGCAACGTGCTCACATTTTTTGCATGTGGTGCCTTGTGTTTGCATGTTGTGCCCTTTTTTTCATGTCGTGCTTGGAAGCAACAAGTTGACTTGCTTCATTGGAGTGCACAGCTGATCTGGCAATGGACTTTGCCTTTGGTGGTTGAACTTTCGATGTAGGGCTTTCGAGCAAACGAGCAGGGGATGATTATTTGCCCACTTACCAACCAGCAACCGATGGAGGTGATTAATCACCACCCAGTTAGCTTACCTGTTTAACAATTCGCCTTTTTCCCCTCATTTTCCGTTTCAAACAGCAAAACAGGAGCTGGTCCAAGTCTGGCCCAGTTTTGAATACCCCAAGGTAGACTTAAATCCCGGCGGGTTCTTGTTTGGGGACGTCACCCACCCTTGGGTTTGAGCCTACATTTGTTGCATGAAGGCAATTAGAGCATGGCACCCTGGTAGGGACGGTGGGTACTGATCCAACTCACCCCAAAACGAAGAAAGCCCACTGAAAGGGGACGTTATCCCGTCCATCAACTAAGTGGGTTCCCAATTAGGGAAATAACTGGGGTCATTATTTTGATTGTTTCTGCACGATTTCCCGAATGCGATCCCCATTTTGAGGCGGTGAATTCAATAAACAACATTCGCAGTGGCGTCTTGCCTCGAAAACATTTGGCTGGGCCTATAGGGGGGGACCCTCCCTTTTGCATGGTTTTGGAGGCTATTGTTGGGAGGGTTGCATAGGGAAGCCAAGGGGAAGCCGCATTGCTCAGGTCCTAGCAGTCACTTCTTATGCCGAGTTTGGCCATTTCCGGCCTTCGTCCAAGGTTTTCTTTGTGGATGCTGCAGTTTCAATGGCAACCACCGGTAAATTAATCAAGTGAACCCTGTCGTTGAGACTTCTGAAGCCATTGGGTTGGGGTCACTGAGGTAATTGGCAGAGCTCACTCTTTGACACCACCAGTGCTTGGTCCTCCATGCCCGCCGAGGCATGCAGTTCCTTTCTGGGAGTTTTTTCTTTTTTCCTCGGCATAGGGTCACGGCCCTAGGAATTCGGACCGGGACCCAAGATCGGTGGTTTCTAGCGGTTTCCCTCTTCAACCAACCGAAAAAGGGCCTCAAACAAACACGGGTACCGTATGGTTTTGCTGGAGAAGCGGGGTTCATTGTTCAAGTTGAGGGTTTCTTCTCCAGGAGGGATCCATAGGTCGAAGCGAGATTCTTTCAGGTTCTGGTCTTGGGGGTTTGTGTGTGTTTGATGTCGCTTGTTCGGGATGCGTGCATTGGGGGGGGGTTCTTCTGTACTTCAGGTTGGTGAATGAGCTCAGTTCAGGAGTACACGGTCCAACTACCCACCTTAAAGACCTTATCTGAATAACTGAAGCTTCGGGTTTTCCAAAGGGAGCTAGTTTTCGCAAAGTCAGGCTATAGCTAGCTACTGACTTCTGGGCGACCCCTTGTGAATCAGGCAAAAATTAGATTGACTGCCAGAAGTGATGAACGTAGCACATTGATGCGAAACGGTGCATTCCGGCCGTTCAAACACCACTCACCCGTGGCAAGGATGATGTTCTTTGGGTTCAGACAAATCTTGCAACCTACCATTTGAACTTGACTTAGACGAGCTCAACCACGATCAAGGTCACTTCCCGGGGGAATTCAGACTATTTCCGGTGCATGAGTTATAGCAACAACCCAGAAGAATCATTAGGATTCCATCCGTGGAGCCTGGGTGTTGGCCAAATTACAGGTTGCCAGTAACCCGAGCAAGCCTGGTCAACACCCACCTATAAGCCCCTTCAGCGGAGTTGTTTGTTGTTATATAGTGGGTTATGGCCCAGGTGTCTAGCCGAGGTGGCTAGGCACTTGCTAGGAAGCGAACATCCAAGTGGGGATCTTTGTGTGATTGCCATTCTCTCGATTTAGGAACTCTTCTACAGGGCTCCTTAAAAGATACAGTTTGCCCATTTGAAACATGTTGCTTTTTCCACCAAAATAAAGGGAAACCACCATTTACAAGGCAATGTTCAGGTGTATAATGTAAGGATCCCTGTTCTAGGTAGTTGATTCCACTTAAAGCGCTCCACACGTTTCTCGAAATTTGGTACCCTTCTAAGTTGTTTGCCTGTTGGTTTCCATTCCAAGCCAAGCAAGGGTTCAAAATCAGGTACTCCACCAGTTGGGTTTCCATTCAAAGCCATCCACAGAGGTGAACACCCTGTCGACCGCTTTGAGACAGACCCAGAGCTCAGCTGGGCACGTGAATCTGCCAGGTGCTGTACAGCACCTGGCACATCTTGGCCATCGAGCCGAGCACTGCGCCCAAGACCTCGGCGGACCTCAAGGCGCGCGTGCGCGTCAATGGCCAATTCTCATTCCAATTCTCATTCCCTGAGCACCAGCAAGAAAATGGGGGCCGTTTCCGTCCCGTTTCTCCGTTTGCGTAGCCCAGCCACCTCCTTTCAAAGATATCGCGCTGCGGAGCTGAACATGTGGGGAGGTTAATGTTGTTTTGGGTTTGTTGGGGGGCAATTCCCAGGTTTGTGGACAGTTGGCAAACTTGAAGCTTTTTGCTGGTAGGTTTGTCCATCATCTTAGTAAAGGCCCGAAAAGTCCCAAACTTCTTTGGGTCAGTCACCTCAGCATGTCAACTTAATCTTTGGAAGACCATTCTATGACGAACGTTTGGCATTCAACGGAAGTGAGGTGGGGCATTCGTTCCTTCCATTGTCGGAAACCCAGATTTCAACCCTTGCCAAAGGGGCTTGCCAAAGGGGCTTGCCACAGGTTGGTTGGTAAGTCGTATTGCAAGTGAGAAGGCACGAGTTGAGAGAGGCCCTTGCAGAGAATTCATGATCCACCTGCCCCAATTTGGGCTCATAAACAAGGCCTGCCATTTACCTTCAAAATTTGGGTTTGCTCTCCTGCAGATGAACGCGGAACCCAGAAAGGGGGTTCCCAAAAATATCAGTCCTGTCGCAATGACAGCTTTGCGATTCCACGTAAATCAAAAGCAAGGGTCCCACTTTCTGGTGCAAGTCTCTTGCCACGCTTCCAACAGGTTGGAGACACAGTGATGGCGGAGATCCCCATTGACCACATGGACGACTTCGGTGAGACACCCCAGTTTTTTGGGGGGAGTTGAGTGCTCCTGTTCCGTGGGAATTGGAGGCCCTGTGGTTGGAAGGTGTGGACATTATCCATGCAATTCTTGGGTGGCAGGGTATCCCTGGGGTTCAGTTACCATGAAAGCAATGGGGGTTGGTATAACCACGATTATGTACCAAAGGAGTTTCATCATCCAAATTGGGTCCCAAGGCCATTCTTTTAATGGGGGTTGCACCCCAGGGGCACGCCAACACTGGAACTGTGTTTTCACCATGGCCTTCTCCATTTCCCCTTTGTGGCGGAAAGCCTCTTGCATGCTCCCCTTTCCTGTCACCGGCTGCAACTCAGCTTTGATTGTTCACGTTGAATCAAGGGTCTAAAGAACCTGAAAGTCGGCTTTGGGTTCATCACTTGAAGCCAGCAAACAACAAAATGTGGCTGATGTGTTTCAGGCAACAGCCCCAAAAAAAACGCACCGGTTGCAACTGGAGACCCCCAAAAGACCCGAACGAACCCGGCCTTTGGAACCTCCGCGTGTAGGTTTCCACGAGCCCGGTAAGAACTCGCCAAGCTGGGGAAACCAAGGAAGCATTCAAAGCTTCAGGGGTCCCACCAACTCCAAGGGGTCACAAGTGGTCAGAATGTGTGGTTTTCCGAAAGCCCCTTGCGGTCGTATACCCACAAATAAGCCTCTTATTTGTTGGCTTGCAAAAAAAAGAGGGGACTCATCAGCACGGGATATCCACCCCCTCCTTGAATTCCTGGACTTCCCTGTGACCAGCTAGCAATTTGTCCAGGACCCAGGGGATCCCAAACGGTTCATTCCCCAAACCCCGGTTGATTTACACGCCAGGCTCTGATAGAAAGACCACCCTTGGGCACGGGCCCTTGCGTGGGTATGTGCTGCTCGAAATGGGTGTGTCAGAAAATAGGGGACCTGCCAAATGATGGTTTTCCTGTTGGCTTCCCCTCAAAAACTCCCCTCAAAAGACCACAGATATCACACATAGAGCCTTGGAATAGTAGGCTATCCTTCCATTAAAAACTCATCGCCTCTCAGAAACGGGTTTTCGTGAGACAGATGGTTACAATCACTGCCTGTCTATTTTTGGACTTGTTCCTATGATTGTGTTCCTTTATTGAGGGAAAGAAAAAGGAAACACCCCTTTGATTGTTGCTTTGTTCAGCGGTTTCAAAAGGAAACCACCCCCTTCTTTGTTTTTTGTGTGTTCCCACCAAAATTGAAACCACGAGGAAACCACCCCCTTTGTTTTGTTTTTCCCCCCAGAAGGAAACCAACAGGAAACATCCATTGTTGGGTCCGATTCCTAAAAGCCAAAATCACGAACCACCAGGCCCTTTTGTGTTTTTCTTTTGAAGCCAAAAGGACACCAACTGGAAGCCAGCTTTTAGGGTTCCAAGTCCTAAACAAGGGTAACCACCGCACTACCGAAAGAAAAAGAAAGAAAACATAAAAGCAACATATATATATATATACAATAATAATAATAATGATAATAACAATAATAATAATAATACTAATAATAATAATAATGTTATTACAATTAATAGTAATGATAATGCTATTCAAACTAATAATACTATTAAACATCATGATAATAATAATAAAAGAAGAAACAACAACACGGGGAGATTGGCGGGGCCTTTGGATCGCGGCCTTCGGCGCGCAGATTCCTACCACCCGGAAGAGTCCACGGAGCAGCTCACGGGCACCGTGCTGGGCTTCGCAGGGCGCCCCAGAACCGACGCGGGGCGGCGCTGAGGCCCTGGGCCCCGAGGCCCCCGTTTCGGACTGGAGTCAAATGGAGTTCCTGAGGGAGACGTTTCTGGGTTTGGTGGCCATTTTAGGGGTAAATATGGCGGCGTTTGGGACTGGAGGCAAACTTTGTGTTTTTATTTGGTTTGGACCATTTTGGGGGGTACATTATAAAAGTTGGTTACTGTTTCGGCCAGTCCACTCAGGAAGTGAGGTAAGGGTTCCCGTCTTGTTTGTTCCATTTGCTGAGTTGAGTTGATGAAGCACGGTTTTGTATTTTCTTCTGGCGGTTTTAAAGAGAATCTATCACAGAACATTTATTGAGCATGCAAATGGAGGTCTTAGTCCGGTAGTGTTGAAGAGTCAACATCTTGGAAATATTGTTTGGCAATGACGTGTCTTGTTGACGTGTTGTGCTTGGTTCTGTTTTTTGCGTTGCAAGGGCCGCAAGGATACCTGGGCAGCACGCTTAAACTGTCCATCAGCAAAGGGACATCACCCCAGCATTTTTTGGGCAATCTCAGTCATCAACGTCATCATCATCATCATCATCATCATCATCATCATCATCATCATCATCATCATCATCATCATCATCATCATCATCATCATCATGATGAACATGACCGCCTTTTTTTTGGGGGGGGTTCAGGGTTCAGGTAGGACCCTGCCTCGTTTTCTCGTGTTTTCTTTTTCACTCGGCCACCTTGATCCAGTCTTCGGAGCCACCCAAGGGCGTCATGTCGAGTGTCAATCCCCAGCATCATGGTTGTCGTTGGGAAGCATTTTACATTCTTGCTTATTGTGGTTTAGTGGGAAATCCCCACTTAACTGCAAAAAAATGAATTTTTGCTCCCCTTCCAACGTCAACCAAGGTCACAGCATGTTTCCAAAGGTACCCCTTGGCATGTGGCCGGCATTTGTATAGTACTTGCTCAGGATTGCTCACAAAACTGCAGAAGTCGTAGTATGTGCCCATTATGTGTGTAGGTGTGTAGTATGTGTACTGTACGAGCATCATAAGTGCAACACGTGTCAAGACATGTGCCCTGTGTGACCTGTCTATCATGTTTGCTGAATAGTCAAATGCATGCCTCTCATTCATGCTTCGCGAATGTTTTCCGCTTAACATCTGCCACGCAGACGCTTTGCACAGGTGTGCCATATAAGAAGATTTGGCCATGCCGTCGCGCTTATTGCTAGTATGTGTCTGGCAGCGGAATTTCACGATACTGATAGCTACGGAATTACGTTCACAGCACATTGCAGCATGTACGTAGTTGCTTGTAGTCCGCCTTTTGTTGGTTTGAAACCTCGCTTTTTGGACCAATTAAATGTGCTTCTTTCTGTCTCAGGTGGCTGGCATGGTGCGGCTGATGCTGGACTCTGGTGAGGAGAAAAAGGGCAGGTGCACGAGGCTTCCTTTTGGTCACATGGGTGTTCTTTTTTTTAGGAGTCGGACCTGGAAAAGGACGTACCAACTCCTTTCAAAGACACGCCCATCCGATTCAGGGCCGAAGGGCCATTCCAACCTCACATTTTTTTCGAGGGTCCCAAAGACCAAGAGCCACCTGGCGATGATGGCCCAAACAAATGGTGGTTTCCCTTTTGATGTCCCTTTAAACCCACGCAAAGAGGGGTACCTTCAAACAAGAAACACACCCGTGAGTCCCCTTGCTATGGCTCTGAATGGGTATAACATAGGGCTTGCTTGGTTGTTTTAGGTTGCTTTGAAGCCACTAACTGGGTTTCCCCGCTGTTGAGCCTGCTTTGGGTGTTTGGCCAAGTCTCTAAGTTGTTGGCAACCTAGGTCCTACGCCACATATATATCTATATTGTATATGTATATGAGTCCCCCCCGTTCAGCAGAGCTGCCCAATATTGTCTGACAACTTCTCGGGTCCTACTGATGGACGATTTCCTGGGCTACCTACGACCCTGAAATGATTCGATTACTCTGACAATAACCCATCAACAATGCTTTCCCAAGGTTTTTCCAAGCGGTGCCAAGGGATTTTGCCACCATCCGCCGTTTTGTTGCTTTTTCGCCCCCTGGAAAGAAAAACACTTAACATTTTCAGTAGTGAAATCGATTCCCTGTAAACCAACAGGGGAACAGAAAAAAAAAGAGTTTAAATTTACCCTCCCACCAGCTAACATAGAACCTGACACTGACCAAGGGAAGTCTTAGTCTGTTCTCAAGCAAATGGCAGCCTAAGTGACGCGGCGCAAGGAGCAGATTGTGAAGCGCTCCGCGGTGAAGCCGATTCAGGACGCGGTTTAGGTTTTTCTTTTTCCGCTTCCTGCACTGTACGCTTATATTTGGTTAAGAATATGTTGGATTTTTTCCCCTGTTAATTTGTAAGGGAATGTATCACTACTGGAAAGGAAATTATTTTGGCTTAAGCAAACGGAGGTATGGGTGTGTGTGTGTGTGAAATGTTCACGGGACCCAAATGTGAACGGAAGTCCCAGCTGCGTGTTGTTGTGTTTCTCTCGGAGGTTGCTTGTGCGAGTGACTGAGCTCATTCCGTTGCCTCTTTCCGGGGGCTGTCTTTTGTTTTTCTAGCCTACTTGAGGGGGTGACTTTCATAATGGGGCCAGACCGAGCCAAGAGCAGGAGTCACTGTATTTCCCTTGGTGGTTTTAAACATCACCTTTTGGGCCCAAAGGTGAGTTTCGCTTGCAGGTTGGAAATGAATCGTGAGCCCCATATGAATCAACCAACCTGTTTCCTAAATTGGTGTGTGTGATATTAAAAAAACAATCTGGGATGAGTGAGGGAAAAATGTTTTCTTTTCTCCAGGGCGCCCCATATGAAAATCTCTCGGCCTGGAAGCTTGGCTTCGATTCCCACGGGCGTCGATTCCCACCGACCAATTGGCGCCTCGCTCAGGACGCTGGCATCTTCAGCCTCTGGGTGGCCTCAGGGCCCGGCTTGGACGTGCACCGCTGCGAGGCGAGGGCCCCAGTGGAAGGCTCCCTGAGGTTCGTTTCGGGCTTCAGTGCCACTTTGTTTGGGGTTACCTTGAAGCATCTTGAAGCATCCGAACCGCTTTTGAGACGGGAATGGAGCCAAGAACATGTTTCTAGAACAATCCACCTGGGCGCTCTCTCTCTCTCTCTCTCTATGTATATGTATATATACATATAATCTGGTTTGGCGTTTTAAGCATCGCCTTGTGAGCGTGTTTCTTCTTTTTACCCTTTTGGGGGTGATGTTTTAAGGGGAAATCTAGGGAACCTTTGCCAGCTCAAAATGAGC